CAGTCATTGTCCAGACAGCAGACTTAATTTAACAATATATATTTTTAATAAAATGTTTTAGCACCTTGTTGAGTCACCTCCTCCCTCTGCATATTCTAAGGAATTTCAGTTTTTGTTTTTTGTTGTCATTGAATTCTAGGGCTAGGAAATCAAATCGGTCTGTAGAATAAAATGGGACTCGGTGAGACTGTTGACCACTGCTCATGTCTCAGGTGCAGGCTGGAGACTGCTAGGTGAGTTGAGGGGGTGATGTCACTCTGCACTCTCAAAGGGAGCTCATCCCAAGGGGGAGTCCTGTTACTGGAGTTTCAGGGGTCCTCTGGGGAAGTTGGCAAGTGTCTGCTAGCAAAAGGCCTTCTATCCTTCTGCCTCTTGGCCATCTCATTTTTCCCAGTACCCAAGGTTAGAGGCACATCTCTAACCAAAGGTCCACCTTAGCCAGGTCTTGGAAGCCCACAAGTATAAAGTCCTCACTACTCAAAGACCTTTACTTTACCAAAATATAAAGATGCACAATCTCATGCTGGAACAGAGGTGCTTATCTACCTGAGCCCTTTTCTTGTTGGTTATCTGACCCCTAGCACTGTACACCCCTTGTGATGCTGACTGGGTAGGCAATGGCCATAAGGGCCACTCTAGCTCCAGTCCATCCCTCAGCCATAATTTTACCATCATAAGGGGAGGGAGAGACTTCAGCCTCTCCCTGCCAAGTGAGACAACTCAACACCATCATCTGATCACAAACAACGGGAGCAGGTAGGTACCAAACTCACATCACTGACCTCCGGGATCAAAACAGGTCTGCCTAGAAATCGGCAGAGTGGTTCCCAAAGCCCTAGCTCCTACAAAGTGACAATTCCAGAAGACGCTAGTGCCACTGCGACTTCGCACCCAGCTGAATGACAGGTGCCTTAATTCACTTCTACTCTATATTCTTTGTAATAAAAACTATAGAAACCAACAAGTAGTCTTCCCATAAGGACAAGCACCCCCAAAGAGCACAGCTGAACTCTCACTCCTGTACCAGATTCCACACACTAACTAGAGACAGAGTACGGATCACAAACCTCCAGAGAAGCCCTGCCTGGGGGCTGCTGGGGTACTCCTTCAGTGCTAGCCTGCTTTCCCACCTGCTGCTTCTGCCTCCCCAGTCTAGTCACTTGGCAAAAGCCACAAGGATAATTCCACCTGCCACCACACCCAGCCCTGCTGCAAAAGCAAGATCGGAGGCTGTTGGGACGTTTGCTTTCTTGTAGGGTAGCCAACATCAGAGAAACAGCCTATTGAAGGTTCCCAGGCTTACTGGGTCCCGGGGGAGGAGGTAGGACCAGCTTGGGGCCTTGCTGGCATGTGTGCCTCCGTGGGAAACCTTGGTTCCAAGACCCTGATGCTAGCACTGCTGCCTCCCCAGGCAAGGGCCAAGGATCTTTGGCACAGGGCTTCACATGGCACCTGAAGTGGGGAGGCTACCACTCTCAGTCCCCAGGGGAAAATCAAGCCTATTCTTTGGAAAGGAAACTCCATAGGGATCCTTTGGGGATCCTCCCACCTCTGCTCATCTATAGCAAGCTCTTAGATGCTGTGCCCAAACTCCCTCAACCACACTCAATTGCCATTAGCAACCCAGGTCAGTATCACAGGTAGCTCCCCTTTGGAGCTGACACTGGAAGCCCCCTTGGGGTAGAGGTGAAGGGAACCCCAGCTTGGCCAAATTGGCACATGTCAAAGTCCCCCAAATAAGAGGTCGGGGGGGGGCGGTCAGGGGCTGACCTGACTGGTACCTGAGTACAACCAAGTTCTATAGCAAGGCCAAGCCCACAATGAGCTGGAAGGAACGCTGGTGAGAAAGGCCTGTTCCTGTACCAGGCCCAATACCCATGAGTTGGCCATTCCCGGGCCTTGTCAGGTCACTACTGGTCAGCCAAGTACCTGGAAGCCTCTATATTTAGCAAACTCCTAGGAGCAAGCTGGCCAGACAAGGCTAGTTCCTTGCAAGCCACATCCTCAGTCACTGAGGCTCTCCCTGAGCCCTGGTAAAACCCCCAGGTTGGGGAGCACCAGGCCCAGCTAAGGTGGAGCTGGGCCAATAGGAAAGGGTAGCTTCTTCACATAAGCAGTAGCCAGAGGCACTGGAAGAGGAAGGCCTTGAAGACTGTCCTGACACTGGGAGCTGGGAAGACCTTGGCTTTGGCCAGCGGGGGAGGGAGCACCTTGGACTGCCTAAGGCAGCCCTCCTCCCCCCAGCCCCCCTGCATGGTGCTGGTGGACTCCAGGTCAGAATGGAGCCCTGCTGTAGCAAGGAAGGACAACACATTTAGCATAGAGACTCCAGTGAGAGACAGGTGTCCCCCTCTCCTAGCTGCTCCAGCCCCACAGTCATCACCTGCTCATGGCTGGGAGAACTAGGAGCAACCCTAAAAACTATCCAGAGGCCATGAGCAGAGGGGGAGGGGGGGCAGGATGACATACCCCAAGGAGTGGCAAGCCACCAGCTGAAATTACTCCTGAGCAGTGAGCAAGGGAGTCAAAGTCTTGGTTTAGTTTTGTCACTAATTACTAATTTGCATTACTCCAAAAGTGAGGTTCACTGTCCCATTTTTTCAGCTTTGTTTCTTTTCCTAATGGAAGCCCTGTGACCAGAACAGATTTCAATGTGATTTTGGCTGGGGAGAATAGGTAGGGGGAGCTGAGGGCTCACTTGACTGGTGCCTAGAGTTGCAGGTCAGTATCACAGGTTGCTAACAGAAGAATCTTTGAAATCACCAGGGGCAAAAGGGATAGAACACAGACCTGCTAGAGGAAGCACCTGCTTGGATCAAACCTCCTCCTTTTCTTGCCTTCAGCACCTAGCAACTTCTGGGATGGAATCTACCTGCAATCAGGGCAACAGAGGTCAAGAGCTGCATGGGCTGACTCTGGAGTCCTGATCCTGGGGAGAAGCGTGCTGGATCCCTGGTGTGTTAGTGCACCCGGTATGCATCCAAACAGAAATAGGCTCCTGTGCATGTGTGAGTCTGACTGACTGATGTGGGGTCTGCAGCAGGGACCTAGGCTCAGCAAAGAGCCTGCTCCCCACACCCCCACTACGTATATTTCTTATACATGACCCTATCTATGTATTTATATAGTGCCTATCACAATAGGCCCCATCTTTCTAGGGATGCGGTCTTGGGACCATGTGCTTGACAGCACACCTCCCAGTTCTGCTGGTCCCAGGAGGTGCTGCCCCCCCTCCCATTATAAAATATATATCTCTATATGCCATATATCTACACCCCATCCATCCAGGCAAGCTCTGCCCATTGGGCCCTCACCTTGGAGCCAACAACGCCTTCCCTTTCCACTACCAAGGCCAGGCTGCCTGCCCTAGGTAGGAAGTGAACAAAGTGCGAGCACATGGGCCCCAGGTGCTGCTGACTCAAGAGAAGAGCACAGCTATCAGACCAAACACTAGAAAAGAGACACACACCACTCCAACCACACACACAAGGAGAGAGGCTGCCTGGGCCTCCCTCCAGCCCTGACACACCGGACTCACGAGGAGGGGAAGAAGAAGAGAAGAGTGAGCAGCCCGGAGGGCAGGCCTTGGAACTCCCTGGCTGCCTAGCTTGTTGCTGCACTGCCCAGTGGCCCACCTGGCCCGAGGGGTAGTAGCCAGGGCACCAGAGCCACTGCCCCTTAGAAGCACCTGCTCCCTGCACCTTGGTTTGAAACCTAAAGGGAAGGGTGTTGGGTTTTTGTTTTCTTAAAGAAAATCTTAAAACAATTATAACCAGAACCATAAGAATAATTATAATAAAGGTGTCATCAGCCTCCCAGTATAAAACTGCAGCCTTTGGAGATGACCAAAAACATCACATTCCAGGGCCCGGAGCTGCCTTGTGCACAGAGGGCATGGTGGGGGCCTCATAAAAGAACACACAAAAGGTAACTTAGACAGAGAGCACCAGTACGCTTTGTATGTTTTTTTATTTGCTCCAGGTAGGGTTTCTGACGGTCACTTGCCCTCACTCTGGATTATTTCTGATCCTACAAGGAGCGCTCAATTTGGCTGAGAAATCAAAAAATCAGGGACAAAGTCTCCTTACACCTGCCACTTTGCTGAGGGAGTTGTTTTAGAGAATATTCAAAGGTTATTGCATAAGTCTGGATGAATTCCATGCTCAGCTCCTCAGGTCCTGACTGCCTCAGCTGGCCCCCTTTTATTTTGGCAGGGAGAAGTGGGAGATGTAGCTCCCCAATTCTCCTCCTTCAGTTTGTTAAAAACCAAGGGGGGGGGAAATACCCTACCCCAGACCATGAGCTGACTCCCCCTCCCCATCCTGGGCTGAAACCCTTTGCACAGAAGGCCAGGTGGAAGCTGATGTTTCTACTCATCTCGCTGTTTGTAAGCACCATTATGAAGTCGAGTTGTACAGTAGTTAACAGTACCTT